GCGATTCTGTATAGTAATTTGCTTAGCTTCGTCGCTGTCGGCAGATATAGTTACTACCACCACCACTGCTGCTGCAGCTTTTCGTTCATCAGGCAATGGGGGATAGATGGAACCCTCTCGGGTTCCGGTTGCTATCTCTCCTGGTTTTGATTCTTGTTTTGAGGTTTCGGGGCTGTTGGTGTCTCAATGATGAAGGTACATTCTTGTTTTCCTTTAGTTTTTGATGTTATGGAATGAATGGCATTTGTAATTTTCAAAATTGGATTGCATTCTTTTGCAATTGGTGTGGAAATGCAGGATTGATTCTGTTGTCATTCCGTGAAAATATCAAGTTCGATCCTTTTGGTGCTTTGGAGAATTGGAGTCCTAACGATGGCAATCCTTGCCCTTGGAATGGTGTTCATTGTGTGGACGGTAAAGTGCATATGCTGTAAGTCCCTTCTGAATTTCTTCTAAATTCCCCAGTTAGATAATTACTAGAGATTGCTTTTTGTTTTCGGGGATAAGTCTCATTTTTGAAGGTACCAATCTATTGTTTATCAATTACTGCAGTTAACTGGTTTGATGTTTTGATGCCTTTTAATTGATTTATTGTAGGAATCTGACGGATTTTTCTCTGGAAGGGACATTGGTACCTGAACTTTGGAAACTTAATCACTTAAGATCTCTGTAAGGACTCTCTTCGTCACCGAGTCTTTGTGGCTAAAGTTTAGTTTTTTGGATGTTGAGATTTTGGTATTTAACAAACTGTTTGGAGCACCCAAATGTCGTTTCTTAAACAGTTAAAACTTGGTACCGTAGAATGAAACTACATATAGAATTAAGCATAATCAGGGTTTATGCATTTCCATTGAAAAATATATGCACGTTTTCATAGCTCATCTTCATCTCCATGCGAATTCATTTTTCAACCCCCAATCTGACCGGAGACTGTACAAAACTATCACAAAATCTCAAATTTATTAATCATGAATCAATTTAGCATGTTAAGAATGCATGATACTGTACCCTTCTTAGGGACTTATCAAGCTTTCTTTGGCTTGGCCTAATTAGTTTTGTGATGTTAGGTCTTCATTGACATTGTGGACCTTGATTGAATCTCTAAGCATATAAGAGTTTAAATGGGAATTCTTATTATATGGATTTGAACAAACAATAGACAATAAAACCACGGTCTTGTGGAAATTTAGTTCTTTTGTGACCTTATGGAGTTTTTTGCTTCCTCTGAATAACAGTGTGTTATACAAGAATCGTTTATCTGGTGTAATTCCTAAAGAGATTGGGGGGCTCACAAGGTTGGAGCTGCTGGATTTGAGGAACAATAACTTGAATGGGATGATTCCAGTTGAGTTAGGCAGTATGCTGTCACTGAAATGCTTGTGAGTTAGCTGTTGCATGCTTGATCTCTATTTCATTCTATAACTTTCGAGTCCCTGGACTAACTCATTTTAAACCGCAGGTTGCTTTGTGACAATAGATTCGAAGGCACCATTCCTCTAGAGCTCACTCGTCTCAGCTCGCTCTGCGAATTGCAATTTGATGATTACCTTTCATCTAGTGAAACCACTGGATTTGGCTGTGTGAACAGAAAGTTTGGCCATTGGTATAATACTGCTTACACATACAAATCACTCCCGTGAGTCTCACAAATACACAGTAGGATGACTTAGTTCACAAGAAGAAATTTATTTCATTGTTGATGACTTCTTTCTTTCCTTTTAATTTTATTTTCAATTTCATAATTTACAGTTGATGTCTACGATGCAAATATCTAGTCGTAGTAACTGTAGCATCATTTAGTGTACCCAGGAATGCGTAGTGTAAATCTTGTTTCAGACAGAGAGTTGATAAAAAGAGAATCTGGGACTTCTATAGTTTTATCTTTAGGACCTTGAATGACAAAAAAATCTTACGTTTTTCAGGCTTTCAGTTGTTTTTAATTCGAGCTATCCAAACTACTACATGCTAGACTTTGTAACATGAGTTGATAGGAAGTACATATGTTCACACCTCGATTTATCAGCTAACAGAATTGATCTGATTTTAGTCTCACAGTACCATTTTTTATGCTCCAACTACTTTCAGAATGAACTAGCATTGCCTTCTCAAATTTATGTGATAGATAATGTAATTGTTATGTTTGTATTGGAGTATTCATTTGTTGGTATAGAAGCATTTCGTATTCTCATATCTATCGTGTTCGTAATTTTCGTGCATTTCTTGGGCAGCATCTGGCAGAGCAATTTAGAACATGTGAATACTGTGGAATCCTTGGTATTATTTCTTAAGGGAGCTCTTAAGAACTATCTCAACTACTTGTCACTGCCTCGGTAAGGAACCAACTTTCATTGTATGGCATCCTAAGTTATGTTTGGTTTGTTTCCATCATGTTCAATTTGTTGAAAAATGTTTGCTTTTATTTCAAGGTTCAGTTACAGAAAGGATCCTCTGCCAATTGATGGAGATAATTGCTGTGATAGTTTATCTAGTAAGTAAGAAGGCGTTTACACATGTAGTATTGCAATACATCATCCTGAAAAATACATTGATGTTGTGTCTTGCATTAAGCAGGTTTGTTTGAGTCGCACATGGCCTTTGCTCGCCGTAGACTACTTGCACAAGCCAGTAACCTACCAGCTGTACCCGTTACTGATACGGATCCAACTGGACAGGTCATTGCTCTTCCAACTACCCGAAGTAGTGGTGCTTTCCCAGCCGTGCCAAAAGATAAAAAGAAAAATTCTCCTCCGCCTGCACCTGCACCGCAGCCTTCGCCTGAACCTCACGAGGCTTCAAAACATGACGGACAATCTTCCCAAAAATCAAATGGCAATATGTGGAAGTATCTCATTATTGGTTTCAGTGTGCTTATCTTGCTCCTTGTTCTTATGGCCATGGTCTTCATGTGTCGAAGCCAAGTGGCTAAAACTGTAGGTCCCTGGAAGACTGGATTGAGTGGGCAGTTGCAGAAAGCATTTATATCAGGTGATTTTGTTGTGTGAATATTGACATGCCTTCTAATTTCGATATAGACATTGAAAGCTTCATGTATTAAGATGGTCGATATGTAAAAATGAAAATTGAATTACGTTTTTTATGAGTTGCAGGAGTTCCCAAGTTGAACCGATCAGAACTGGAAACCGCATGTGAAGATTTCAGTAACATTATTAGCACACTTGAAGGTTGCATTGTGTACAAGGGAACATTGTCCAGTGGAGTTGAGATTGCTGTTGCATCAACTACAATATCGTCTTTGAAAGACTGGTCCAAGCTTGCAGAGAATTGTTACCGAAAAAAGGTATGTTATTTCTGTTGCAACATACAGCATCCGATGCAGTGGTATGACCTTAATCAATTTATGTTGTTTTGCACCTGCTGTAGATTGACGTACTGTCCCGCGTGAATCATAAGAACTTTGTCAATCTTATTGGCTACTGTGAGGAGGATGAACCTTTTACTAGGATGATGGTGTTTGAGTATGCTCCAAATGGAAATCTCTTTGAGCATCTGCATGGTAAGCTTCTTTGTTCGATCACTAGCTGAGTGAGATGTTGAGGGTTTAACACTTCTTAATCTTCTCTGTTTTCCAGTTGAAGAAATGGAACATCTGGATTGGAATTCGAGGATTAGGATCGTTATGGGAACTGCTTATTGTCTACAGTACATGCACCATGAGCTAAATCCTCCTGTGTCACATCCTAACCTGACCTCGGCTTCTATCTTTTTGACTGATGATTACGCTGCTAAGGTACCCCCTTCCCTTCTCACCCTCTGATTGCCTTTGTTCAATATGAATTTTATGACCTTTACTCATATAACTCTCTCTCGCACACACAGATTGCGGAGATCTGTTTCTGGGCAGAATCAATACGAAAGCCTAAGAATTCCGGCGATGATGATAAGGAGCATTCGGTATTGCCACCCCTTGCTGATCCAGAAACAAATGTCTACAGTTTCGGAGTAATGCTGCTTGAAATCATCAACGGGAAGCTCCGAAACTCAGAAGAACATGGGTCCCTTCTATACTGGGTAAGTTCCTAACCAATCTGATTAGGTTTCATGAATCCAAATCCCAATGCTAATTCGGCTTTGTTGTCAACTTGCCAGGCCTCTGCATATCTGAATGAGAATCGAAGGGACATGGTGGATCCAACCCTCAAGTCGTTCAAAAACGAAGAGCTGGATGTCCTGTGCGAGGTCATCAAAGATTGCATCCAAGAAGATCCAAGGCAGAGACCAACAATGAAGGATGTGACTAACAAACTGAGGGAAGTGATCCCCATCACTCCCAACCAAGCAGTCCCCAGACTCTCTCCCCTCTGGTGGGCGGAACTCGAGATCTTATCGGTCGAGGCGACATAAGCCGGAAAGCTCTCTCCTTCTGACTCTCTTCTCTGTTTCTTGTGTTGTAAGCCAACAGTCTTAAAGTCTCTCCCTTTGTATAAAAAAATGGTGAAGAAGAAGAAGAATAGCTTTTAACTCTGCTGCTCCTTCCCATGCATATAGCCATAGCCTTTGTATTAAGATAAAATCCCCATTTTGCCCTTTTGATTTTCTTGGTTGTTCATGTGTCCTTGTGATTCATTTAATTCTTATTCTTTGGTGTTTATATAACCAAAAAAAGTGGTATTCTTTGACTGGGTTGCCCTAACTTCTTCATTTTATATACAAAGAGATTAATATTGTATGTTATATATATTCTTGTGATCAAAGTGTGGGGATGTAAAATCCATAAATTATAAGTTTATGAACCTTCTATTGCGGATTTGTGAAATTCTATTTTATTTAATTATTAATAAAGGAGGATAAAGGTTCGAAACTATTACACTAATTTAAAGAAGGAAGTGGTTTCAAATCTAGACGCATGGATCTTGATTTGTAAACCTTCTAATGCGGCCGGAGAAGCAAAACTAGTTTGGTTCGGCCGGGTTTTCTCAATCATTTTACTATAAAACCAGTCTAATCCAGACCGTGCCCCCTACTACTACAAACGCGGAGTTTGGAAACTCTACCGCGACGGTTGGAATTCGAGTTTGAGACCTCTAATGAGATATTAAAAAATGATTCGAATTTGTGACGTTTTCTAAACTTTAATTTTGACATTGAAAAATGATTTAAATTGGGTCAAAAGCCAATGTGGATCATATATTTATGGCGAAATGCAATCATGTTATATAGCTTAATGCAAATTTGATTCTTACTGATTCCTCCCACCGTAAACCTATTGATCTACTAAAAAATAAAATCAGGACCCATACTTTTCTAATTCATAAGGAAAAAAATAAAATAAAAAGACTAGCTAATTAGGTTTAGGTGTTTTGGTTAAGGAGAACATTTGATTTTGGTCACATTTCTTCGTCCCCATTCCCTCAACTTAATCTGCACCATGCAAGTAGCAGCCAAGAACTCCACACTCTGCAATGGACTCAGCAAATCCAACAACCCCTTCAATGTCTTGAGCCTCACACAATCCGCCGCCTTCATCACCCCCTCCAACCCACTCAGCATCACCTTCACCGCCACATTCACCAGCCCTTCCAGCTCCGCCGCCGCTTCCCCGTTCCTCGCCCGGGTCGCCAGCCGGGCCAATTCCACCATCCTCCTGTCCGCCATCGCCACCTGCTGCCTCTCCATTTCCCTCTCCACCTTATCCTCCTCGTACTTCATCTTCTGCCTCAGCTGCTCAACCTTCCTCACCTGCTCCTCCGACATGGAAACCAGTCTCGTCTTCTTCAGCGACTCGATGAGCTGGAACAGCATTGATGGCTTCCACCCCGTGACCCAGGAATACGCATTCTCCAAAGGGCTTGACCAAACAGGGCAGAAGAAGGCCAGGACGTCATCCCGAGCAGCAGCCCACTTCACGGTGTAATACTCCTTGTGAAGGTTGGTGGCTTTCGACACCAAAGCCCGAAGCTCCGCCTCGTTCTGCCGCGTCTCCTCCGACAACTTGAGAAGTTGCTGCTGCAGCTGCTCGAGCTGAAAAACCCACCTCTCGAAAAACTCAGAGAACCTCTGCTCCACCTGGGATCTCATGAATTCACACAGACCAGATAGATACAGAAGATTGCACAAGAGTTGTTTGGGGAGATGCCACAGAGAGATTATGAGAGCTTGTTCTTGCTGTTGCTTTACTGTGTTTCTGTGTGTTTATATATAGGCGGAATTGGGATGGTGGGGTGACCAGATGGAGAGAGGAGGAGGGGCCACGGTGAGAGGGTGGTGGAGAGATTGGGAAGTGCGTGGCGGGTGCATGGCTTACAAGCAGCAATCAGGCACTGGTGGGTTTATATGACGCCTTGCAAGTGTTAGAGACAGAGAGAGAGAGAGAGAGAGAGGGTAATGAGTGTTTGCCCTTTCAGTTTTTTGTTCTGGTTGAATGGGATGAAATATTTGTAGGAGGTATTTTTTAATGTATTTAAAACACGGAATGCTATATTAGTGAAAAGTATTTAAAAAAAAAATTATTATTTCATGTTTCGAGCACACTAAAAATTTTCTCGGTCCTTGGGGGTGGCGAAGAGACATGCAGAGCCACCACCTGGTGAGAGAGTTTGTGTTGAGAAAACGTGGCAGCGCGGGAGTCAATCTGGGCTAAAACGTGGAGTGTGACTAAAGCTTTGGTTCAAAAGACAGGTCCGACATTATGCCCGCCCTGGTTTGACCCCTTTTGTCATAGTTTTCATAGTTATTGTACACTTTGTAGGGTTAGGGGTTACCACGGACGGCTCCCATTTCAATCGTCTCTTATATTTTCTTTGGAGTAGTTTGGGAGATGGATGTTTATATGAATGTTGTCTCTTACATATTATTTTTTGTGTATCATATGAGTATGATATACATATTTTAAACAAATTAAAAGAAAAAAAAATACATGCAACGAATTGGTAATCCACGTAATAGTCTGGTTAAACATTTTTAACTGCATATAGAATTGAGAGGTTGCTAAATTGATTAGAAGTCGTATATAAATTATATTTCGTGCCTTCCTTATTGACGCCTTGGTGAGTTTCATTTGTGTATATTTTCATAAATTGAGCCTTGGGAAAACAAAATTGAGAAGCACTGATACCAAAATATTTTAGCAATATTCACATGAACACTATTATATATATATATATATATATATTTATGTGGGAGCCAAAAATTACTTCTCCGCTAAACAAGCCACTAGCATGCTAAACATGGAGAGTGGGGCTAAAGTAAAGGAGCATGATCAAATACATCCATGAACATGGAACATGGAGAAATATAAGAGAAGTGGGACTTGGAACCCAAGACTTGAATGGCTATAAAAGGCCAACAACTCCACCAACATGAGAAAAAGATGGAAAAAAAAAAGAGAGGTATAAAATCGTTCTATATTTTTTTAAGCATTCTAAACAAATACTGACTTGAGCGTCGGAATATTTTCTTGCAGATCCCCTCCTCCCTCATTGATGGCGAGCAAAGATGGTGTTGTGGGCTACTCAACATGGTTACAAGGTTTAGTTGGAGGATTGAAGGAACCAAAATTTTCCGCTCCAACAATATATTTTTGAACGATAACGTCAGCAAGTTAGACCATTAATTGTTAAAATAAAGGGAAATCAGAGAAGATTGAACGTACACCATAATACATAAAAATAATTACTTTCTACCGTAAAATATCATATGCTAAACTATACTGTTTTGATACTTGACTATCTGTTTTAATATTTTTTTTTTCTTGTGTCACAATTTACTACAAGAACTAATTTTTTGTGCCGCAATACTACTTCTTGTCAATACCATTTAAGTTTCCGTTAAAATTGTGTCGCCACCATTTTTTCACTTTGTCACTTTAGCTTTTGTTATGATAGGTGGCCACCTAAGATTACTTTTGTGCCAAATTGCCATTTTGTCATTTTAATCATATGATATGGTTGTTGATAATTAGATAATTATTTACGTGTTTATTTTTTATTAATGATACATTATATAGTTTGTAAATTTGATCTAAAAATTTGGTCAACCTAGCATTTCTCTTTCAAGATATTTCAGTGAACTTGAGTGTGATTTTGATCATGAGGTTCCTACCATTCCCTAGAACTTCTAGTCAATATTTGATGGGTGGTGTTATCCACACACTTATTTTTATCTCACATACTCCTCTTGATTTTCGATCGTCAGATTGAATGAATTGAAAGAAGATGAATGGACAAAAATTAATAAGGATATGTAAGAGGTAAAAGGTGTGTGTCCACTGCCTATTTGATTATAAGTACAATTTAAAGTTAAAAGACAGCAAAAACAATTGTTGCAACTATCATGTCTCTATTTTTTCTCATAGCATAAAATATATCTCAAGATATCGAGGTTTCATATAGTTTATAAGGGAGTAATTCTCAGTAACCAAAATTTTAGGTCAAATTCTAAATCATATGATGTGTCAATAATATGAAATAAGCACATTAATAAATAATTATATAATAATTTAATCATCAACCATTACATTATATGATTTTCAAAATACATTAATCAACACTTAATAATTCAATCATCAGCAACCACGTCATAGGGTTACAAAATTTAATTAAAAATTAATCTTCATAGCATTACCCATCTTGAAATCCTCAAAATGTGTCAGATATTGCGCTTAAGCATCGAAATTTTACCAAGTTATCAATATTTTAGAAATATCTCCATTGTAAAATGCTAAGGAAACACTTTTAAAAATGAGACTCTCTCTATCATCTCACAGTTCAATATTAATTTTCGTGCTAATATTATAAAATATTGTGCAAAAAACATAAGATGACTGCGAGTCTATAGAGTCCATAGAAAGTCACACTTTAAGAATCCACTATTTCGCTTTTTTTAAAGTGCAGTATAGATGTTGCTTCACTCAATTCAACTATCAGCAACCCTAGTTTTCTAATATATTGAGAAATATCTTTGATTATATCAGAAATATTTAAGACCATCATTTCTGGTGAGGTAGAATGCCAGACCAGTACACATTCAAACTATGTGGCCGTATTGGAGAACCTTCACTCTTGACTTAGTAGAAAAATCATGAAAATTTAAGTCCATGCAGTTGCTTCCAACAGTTCCAGCAAAGAAAGCAGAACCAGGGCAAATTTGACACGAAAAAGAAGACAGTTGTCATCACCTACTACGTGTCCTCCACATAAACAAACATTTCCACACCGCTTCAAAAATTCGCTACCTTATTTTGAAGCAATTATCACACATTGTAATATAAAACTTGAAAGAGAAGCAGAAAAAAAGTCTAATATTCTCAGCTCGAACTCAAATGGCAAGTGGAGATAAGGAGAAATCCAAAAGTTGCTTTAAAGAGTGGATGGAAATCCAAGAGAAAGACCTCTCGGAGCTTCTCCAGGCCTTGACCTTAGACCCCCAAAACAAAGACACATTAAAGCATCTAGCTCAAAAGGGCATCGATCACTTCCAAGAATACATAGACAAAAGAAAACAACTCGCCCGCAGAGATGCTTCTGCATTTTTTGCTTCGACTTGGTGCACTTCATGGGAAAACTCCCTCCTTTGGATCGCCGGCTGCCGACCCTCTTTGTTTTTCCGGCTTGTTTATGTGCCCGGTGGGTCGAAAATGGACTCAAGGCTCGATGAGTTTCTGCAAGGCACGAGAGAGAGCGACCTTGGCGAGCTTCTGACGTACACGCAGCTTGTGCTGGTCAACAGTTTACAAAGCAAGACTATTAGTAGGGTGGAGGAGACGCTGACGGCGGAGCTGGCGGCTCTGCAGGAGGAGATAGCGGACCAGCCGATTGTAATGATTGCGAAAGGGTTGAGTGAAACTGGGGAGATGAATAGGGAAGTGGAGGAGGCCCTAGATGAGCATGGCATAGCCATGGTTAGGGTTATGGAGAAGGCTGATCAGTTGAGGCTGAACACGCTTAAGGAGCTTGTTAAAATATTGACACCTGTTGGCGAGTAAGAAGCTTCACCTGTGTGTGCATAAGTGGGGTAGGAAGAGAGACCAATCGCATGGGAGGGAAAATATGGATGATTAATCAGTATGCATAATAGTGTTTTACTGACAATATTGTAACTGTTAAACTTCTGGTAGAAATTATATGTTGGTTTTGATTTGTTGTTGGTTGATTAATGCATTGCAAATTTGAAAGTGTATCTTTAAAGATTAATGCTTAAATGTTTTAGAAACATAATTGTGAAAGGGCAAGTTGGCCATCGAGTGCAAGACACGCTTGACTGCAAGAACAACCCGACGAGCAGGGGTGGAAGTCGGATTTAGTAATTCGTCGGTGTTGGATGGAAGGGTCGTCGCTGAAAGGATAGAAGTTACTTTTGATCTTTTCCAAAGCTCATCTCCAAAGGAAGGTTGGCACTTCGTTGTTGGCTCTTCGCCACTTGGGGTTGTAGTGTCTATATAATATGTTCCAGGTATACTCTTGGGTTGTTGTCCTTTAATATCCTATGCTCTAAATAAAAATTTTTGGAATGAGAAGTCACTAGCATATAATGCAAGTATTTGCCAGTGGAATGTCTTTGAATGGCGGATTGGATAATTATTATAGATGTTTTATTTGTGGCTTAATATGATTTTTTTTTTATTATGATAGAATATTGTTGTATTAAAAAAAAAAAATCTTATATTTTGCATTGAGAGCGGTACGACTAAGAAATGGTAGTAACTAGCATTCTCAATTAGGCCTATGTGTAACATTTTAACATTTTAATTTCTCTTAAACACCACGTTTGTTACTAAATTGCTTTTAAGCACACCATCAACCCATTTATTTGCAAACAGACGAATCTCTTGCTAGATGAACATGATAAATTTTTCATTGTGATCGGAATACAAGTAGTACACCACGTGTTTTTATACAAGTTATTAACTTTATTAACTTTTTAGCACATATATTCTACCATTTATATAAGGGAGACTTTGGATGCGGTCCCTAACTATGAATATTCTTTGATTGAAACCTTGTTGATTTTCATTTTTGATCCAAGTCCCTGACATTAATGTGATAATTTATTTATATGTACGTTATTATATTTTTTAAATTAAAAATTGAAATTTATAGTTGTATATATTAATGAGATTTTAAATAAACATTGGTATATTCATCAAAATTAATAACAAAATTATTGTATCAAAAAATGTGTACATTCTTCAAAATCACAAAAAAAAAAAAAAAAAAAAAAAAAAAAAAAAAGATATTAGGCTTAATAAAATTAGTAAATTTCTTTGATTAAACTTAACATGGATATATTCTCAAATCAAAGAAAAAAGAATGTACCCATATAAGTTTAAAAATGGATTCGAAAAAAAATTGAATAGATTATATATATAAGGGTACATTTTACATATAACAAATTGGTATATTTAAGAATGAGTACATTTTAAGATTAAAATTTTGAAAAAAATTACATGAATGGTACATATAATTAGCATGGGTACATTTAGCAAAATTAAAAATGGTTACAAATAAATAAAAAAATATGGGTACAAATACAAATAAAACTTTATAAAATATGGGCACAAAAAGAAATTAATATATGGGTACAAATTAAAACTAAAAAGAAAATTGGTACAAATTAAAAAAGGTTGCAAATTAAAAATGGGTACAAACTAAAACTAAAAATATATGATAAAAAAATTAACCATAAATATAAATATACTAATTGTAACATTTTTAACATTAAATGAATATATTTTGAAATAAAAAACATTTAATTGTTGAAATAATTAATGATGCTATTAATATCAAGGACCTTGATCAAAAAATAAAAATGAATAAGGTTTTAATCAAAGGAGTAGCAAAGGGAAGGATGTGAACCTAATTTCTCCTTTATATAATAACATGTGGTATACCATCTCATATTCCGATTACACTAAAAAAATCTCTCGATGACCGCAACCTCGACACCTGCCACCATTCACTAACAGAGGACCATATCATTAGTCGCGCAAAAAAGATGGCGATCAAGTGAGCATGTCCGTGAGGATGTTGCTAAAAATACCTTGAATTTATATCAAACAAAAGCTTAGTTGGTTTGGTTGTAGAAGTTTTGGCTGTGAAGGACAACCTAATCGCTAAACAGCTTTTTTAGTCAAATAATACTTCTCTTCTAGATAGATGTCTAAGATTGAATTGACCCTTCTTTTAATTTTAGGGACGTTTTGATATAGACGCCTCGTTTTTAAATGTCATAAACTAAACATCTATTCATTTTGCAAATTTGATTAAATATTTTCCCTACAATTTTGATGCTTAATTTTATTTCATTAGAAGTCTATTCACGTTAGAATTCCCTTTTTTCCTCCTATTTTTATGCAACTCGATTTAAGATTTTTTTTATTTTTTATTAAAATATTTATTTTAGTAAATTAAATAGAATGTAACAAAACTTGTTGTTAGGTACGTTTGGTTTATATTGGTACGTTTGATTATAATGGTACATTTGGTTACTTGTTACATTTGAATTTTTGGTCCATTTGGCTTCTTGGTATATTTGAATTTTTGGTACATTTGTTTTCTTGGTACATTTGAATTTTTGGTACATTTAGTTTTTGGTACATTTGAATTTTTGGTACGTTTGTTTTCAAAACATAAGTTTTATTACGCTTTGTCCTAATAATGAGGAATTACTTTAATTAATTATTATTATTATAGAAAGAGTCGTTAACAATGTAAAAGTTTAAATTACTTTAATTAATTATATTTTTTTAATAGCAAGAGTCAATAAAACGTAGGAGTTTAAAGGACCGGGCAAAAAAAAATTTCCTAAATTGTAGGCAATTAGTTACAAGGTAAAGTGAAGATGCCTTTAAACAAATTATATGTAATTTAAAAAATAGAAAAACGTTGATGTGGCAATTGGTCAAAGTCTCTTAATCAAATCTTAAAAAGGAACCAATGTTTGATCTAAAACGTATTAAAAAAATGCAGGGGATTCTAATTTTCCCTTAATTTTAAGACCCACGCATTCAATCTTTTCCTGCCGGACAAATTCTTTTCGTTCGGCCTTGTATTGTTGAAAGCGTAGCGATTTTAACGATAAAACAGCATTTATATTATTTATTAAATCGGAGAAAAGAGAGATATGTTTCGTACCTTTAATCGTGTTCTTTGTTAGGGGGAAGAAGAAAAACTATACAAGTTCTTTTTTGTTCTGAGAAAAGATTAGGGTTTGTTGGGTGTAAATAGAAGTATATTAAGTTTTACGTATTAATATGTCTTTTTTTTTTTTGTTTCCTCACTCGATTAAAAACTAAAAAAGTATCTAAACTTAAGTATTGGGGTGAATTTAGATGGATTGTGGTGTTTAAATAGAAAAAATCCTAAACTCTAACAAAGAAAAAACAGAGAAGTGCAGAATAGAAAAAACCAGGTTGCGTTTTCAGCTCTCCCTTTCATTATAAGCTCAATTTTTCTGTTTTCTGTTTCCCAGGTCTCTGCAACTGATAGACTTTGGTGCCATTCAACGCAAGGAATCCATGATCAATCCCATCTTTGACAGTGCTGGACGATACTCGGATACCTTCATAAGACGCTTGAGACTTGCTAATGAGAACATATCTGTCTCTCACGGTGCTTCAAACACCTTTTCAGGATGTCAAAGAACAACTTACTGTGTTGAAGCTTGCCAACATTATGTGGCTGTTCAGCTCTCCCTCGTTTAAATTTAACACGGGGACCCAAAGACCATACAAGCTGCAATTATTTGGAAAGACTGGTGGCCCGTACCGCAAGTCTAGTGGAAAGGAGTTGGAGGGTTTGGTGAATGACAAGGTCAGGTAATTCGGGATGTGTTGTCGATTAGGGAGGCCATGGCGTTTCGGTTTTGATCTTCTTGCTTCTTGAGCGTTTTATTTTTCTGCTTTGCTTCTGCAGCCTCTCCTTTTCTAAATGTACCAAGCAACCCAACTTTTGACAAACCCAAAACTTTTTTCTCAGCCTTTTTCACGTTAGACCTAACTTGATCATCAAATTAACATTATATTATTATTGACTGACGTGATATCTCTTAGTCACACCCTAATCTCTAGATCAACATTTAAGCATCTAAACTTATAACTAGGTCTCAAATTCAACACAAATAACAAATAATTATCGTCATTTGTATGAGTTAAACATAATCTCCTACTTACAATTTGAAAAAAAATATCACTAGATTGTAATGCTTGTTATTAAATTAAAGTGTGTTTAATTAGATACTATAAAATGATAAAAAATAAAAAAAAATGGGAACCACTTGTCATTCCAAAATGGAGTATTTTTTTTTTTTTTAACTATATCATCCATTTGTACTATAACATATGGATTAGTGATATCACGTGACGGTCAAACAAAATATTCCTTAGAATTTGTTCAGGGCAAAAGAGATACATAAGACCCAGGTGTATATGCAAGAAAACAACCTACTGTGGATCGACATAGTGGACTTTGGGGTTGAGATTTGGTGAAATCTTGTTCCTCCTGGTCAGGCCACTGATTGAACTCACTTCATTTGGCACCATTGTATTTGTGGACCTACTTTTACCATCTCTTACAACCACCATATCTCCATAGGCCAGGCTCTCTTAATTCTTCCTGCACCGTATCAGCTTTGTGGTCAGTAGTAAGCTGTGTGGGCCACACACAAGATTCACACATGGCACCCACGTGGACATCCTGCTTGCCATTGTGGTCCAATATTGTTCATGCACTACCCTGATTGAACATGCTTCTGTTAATCTGTATGTCGGCAAATTAGAGCAATCATACCAGCATTATCTTTTAAATTTTTAGGAGATTAATTGGCAAAAGTAAGAATGCTATTTTGTGGAGTTTTAATCTCAACCAGTAGTATAGACTACAATATGTCAATTTGGATCATTTATCATATTGTAGAATGACAAATGTTTTTTCCAAAACTGTAAATGCAAGGAGAGTAAAATTCCTGTATATTATTTATTTATAGTAA